TTTGTGTAATTTTCAAAGACTACATTAGATTCTCTATAGCATTTTTTGTTGAGTTTTTGTCAAACCTAACATTTATTGTTAGTTTTGTATTTGTTTCCGGTGGTCAACATGCGATGACTATTCGATGTTTCAAACAAATCTTATTAGATTTTCCATGGAAACAACGTCCACCGAAAACCACCATAGATTCAAGAAATTGAAGAAGATCTAAAAACCAAAAGAAGCAGTTTGATGTTGTCCAAGGTATTCATATTTTGTATTTGATACAATATATTTAGTATCAAAATATTACATTGAATTATTGTAGAAGACGACAACACATAGAAGTTCTACTCTCTTTGTTGTATGGTGATATCCGTACAATCGTTGATAATTGATCTTGTCAATTTTTATTTTTTAGGGTTGAATCAATAAATTGGATTCAAAACCGAAAAATATATATATTTAAATTGGAATAAGATCAATTTAATAAAAAAAAGAGTAATGCGACAAAGAATCATAGATCACAAAAAATGTTATGGGATGTTGTTCTCATCCTTATATTTATGTATTTGTTGTGTTTGCATTATTTTTTTTTATAACGTCTGATTTATATTAATCATTGCATAGTGTTCACATAATCTTCATGAAGAAGATTAGTTACAAAACATGGAACATAATGATGGTACTGATAAGAACTAGTATTTTGATGAAACTGTGTTGCCAATTTATCAGCCACCTTATTTGCTTCTCGTCCAATCCACTGATATGAGACTTCTTCAAATCTTCGCTCCCACCATTTGATTTCCCGTATCCAGTTGTAGACATCAAAATTCTTATGTTTATAATTGAGAAATTGAACTGCTTTTTGACAATCTCCTTCAATAATGCTCCTCCGATAACCCTTAATCCAACAGAATTGTATAGCCATTAACATCGCTTGTATTCACTCTCCAAAGGTGTAGAAACACTCTTCCCTTCCGCTTGTACAGCTCCTTTGTAAGTTCCTCGATTATCTCTTACTACCCACCCTGCAGTACTCGGAACATTTCTGTTATTGAAAGAACCATCCACGTTTCATTTTATCCAGCCTGCAGCAGGTTTTTTTCCATGTGTGCTTTATTTGTGATCGGTTAACTCTTGCAGTAATCTGTATCTCATCTTGCATCTTCTCAGCATCTTTCCATTCTTGAGCATTCAGTTTTGCATATATTAAAACATTAATCCAGTGTTGACCTCGTTGTTAGATGATCATAAGATTTATGCTCTTCCATAACTGCCATAATATCCATAGAGGCAAATCTTGAAAATGAATCAGTCTTGCGGATAAAGAAACTTGTAAGCAAGCCTCAATTTTTTCCTCCAAAGAAGATGTGGGACTATTTATAATCGTATTTGAAATCCCTGAAGCTCTCCAGACACACTGAGCATATGGACAAGTAAAAAATTAGATGATGGTCAGTTTCATCTGCAAATCCACAACGTCGGCACTGAGCATTTTGAATGACGTGTCGCCTTCTCAAATTGTCACCAGAAGGTAGAATTTTTTACAACAGTTTCCAAGCAAAATGTTTGACCTTCGGTGATAATTTTGTTTCCAAATCTTATGCTTTAACTCCCTATTACAGTATGTCGGTTCAATCGGATTGTGTTGCGGTAGATGAGTAGCTAACCAGTAGGCCGACTTGACTGTGTATATTCCATCTTCATTATATTGCCAGCCTAACAAATCATGTTTCGCTTGGGGACTAATCTTTAACTTCATGATCAAGTCAACATCCTCTTCAGCAACGTCTTCTCTTAGTTTCCTTTCATCCCATTCATTACTATCAACTCTGAAGTAAGCTTTAAGCTTTACCATATTCAACGCTCCATTAAAATTTGGTCGTGGTGAACGTGGAGTATGATCTGGAATCCATGGATCAGACCACATATTGATATGAGATCCATCCCCAACTATGTATCTCATCCCTTTTGCAACCAAATCCTTGCCGTATAATATGGACTTCCATGCGTAAGATGTCTTTCTCTGCTGAACGGCTTCCAATATATCACAATCTGGAAAATATCTGGCCTTAAGAACTCGCGCCATAAGGCAGGATGGATACTGTAAAATTCTCCACACTTGTTTGCCGAGTAGAGCTTGGTTAAAAGCCTCTAAATCCCGAAATCCCAGTCCCCCTTCTCGTTTTGGTACACACACCCTTTTCCAGGTGTACCAATGCATACTATTTTTATCACCATTTCCCCACCAGAATTTCGCTAAGATACCATCTATCTCATCACAGACCTCCCTTGGCAATCTGAAAACATTCACTGAAAATATAGGCATGGCAAGAGTAACACTTCTTTTCCATCGCTTGACAAATGTCTCTGTTTCCAGCCTTGTGTGACTGACTTCACCTTCTCAATTATGTAAGCAAACATGTCACTCTTCTTATTTGTAACTTGTTTTGGAAGTCCAAGGTATTTACCTATACCTCCCTCATTATGTATCCCCAACAAATTTCGCATTTGGGTTTTGGTATGTGGCTGAACTTTGCTTCGAAAAAGAATTAAAGATTTATTCAAGTTTATAGATTGACCAGATACCTCTTCATACAACTTGAAGATTGATTTAAGTTTCAAAGCCGCATTTTTATTTGCCAATGAGAAGAATAATGAATCATCTGCAAAAAGAAGATGATTCACCGGAGGAGCTTGGTTTGCGATTTTCACACCCAGCAGAGAACGATTCTCCATTGCTTGATTCATCATATGAGAAGGATTTCAGAACACAAGATGAATAAGTATGGAGATAGTGGATCACCTTGTCTAATTCCTCTTTCTGGGACAATATAACCTTCTGAAGTTCCATTGATAAGAACAAAGTAGCTTACTGAAGAAATACAGGACATAATCATTCGAATCCATCTTGCATCAAAACCCATCCTCTTCATAGTTTCCTCCAAAAAACTCCATTCCAATCGATCATAAGCTTTGGTGATATCTGTCTTGACAGCCATATATGATGTTGCTTGTCTTTTTCGAACTTTAAGACTATGGAAAATTTTATGAGCAACCACCACATTATCAGTTATTATCCTCCCTGGAATAAATGCAGTCTGGTTTTCAGAGATCATGCTTAATAGATGAGGCATAAGACGATTAACCAGTATCTTCGAGATGATCTTGTAGGATACATTGCAGAGAGCTATCGGCCGAAACTCATTCATGCCTGTAGGAGGATATACTTTCGGGATTAAGCAAATGTTTGTGTGGTTATTCTGCTCATCAAGACCATCACCTTGGCACTTCCTGCATTATTTCGGTTTTAATATCATCCCAGAACTGTTGATAAAAGATACCCAGAAAAACCATCTGGCCCAGGAGCACGATGAGGACCCATATCAAAAATAGCAGACTTAACTTCTTCTTTTGTGACCACACGAAGTAGGTCCTGGTTCATAGTATCTGTAACACGTTTTTGAAAACCCCAGAAAACTCCGTCATATAATTGTGGATCAGTATTTTCAAAAGTATACAAACCTTTGAAATAGTCCTCTGTAGTCTTGGCTATCTCTTTTTGACCTTTCCTTATTACCCCTTCACTGTCTTGAATGGAGGTAATGGTATTTTTTAATCCACTTTCCCCGTGTTACTGCATGGAAATATCGAGTGTTTATATCACCTGATCGCAACCAAGATAGTCAACTCTTTTGTTTCCATTAGATTTGCTCATCCAAGTAAGCTTTATTAAGCTCCTCTCTCATAGCAGTTCTTTCTTGTAGACTGGTAATATTTGAGGTCATGGTTTTGTCCAATTTACTCCGTAAAATTCCAATCATTTCCACTGCATTGCTCTTATTGTTCCTTTTCCATGTAGATATATGTTGACGACATCTTCGTAATCTCTGAGCTAATAGAATTCGCAGCAATTGTCATTGATCAGTACCATTCTAACCTCTCACTACTGAATCTTGGAAACCATCTTTGTTAACCATCCGACTATCAAACGTAAACCATGGTCTTGGTACTTCATGTTCTGTTAGAATAAAGGTCATCTTTGTGTTTGTATCATGATATATGTACTTGTGAAAAGAAGTTTCTAAAAAAATCGTAAAGATGGATGCCAAAAAAAACAAAAAAGTCGTAAGAGCACCTCCAATGGTGTTATCCACCATTGGAGTTTTTAACAACGTAATAAACTTTTTTTGAATAGTTAAGGATTTTAATCACAAATGTTCCTCTAAAAGCATTCGCAACTGTGAGACTCATAGGAGTCCTTAAGAAAAAAGGTATTTCGGATTTTGTAAGGATATTTTGAATTTTTTTTTTAAAAGAAAAAAAATGACCATTCACGGGCTACCACGTGTCTTGGAGACATGTAAATAGTGTAAGGATCTGTTAAAAACAGTCTTTATTTAGGGATTTTAATGATCGAAGTCTTAATTTTTTTATGGTGTCTACTAATTATTTAATTATTTTTTTCTTAGTAACGTCCCCTAAGAGCATGTTTATTGATGAATCTTAAGTATGTTTCTTAGGCTATTTACAATTAAAAAGAAAAGGAAAAATGAAGTAAACACAAGAGCCGTTCTTTAGTTAAGAGAACCAAGGAACGTGTCTTAAGTTGCACGTGTCACAAGGAAAGATGCCTCTTTGCTTCCGTCTCATTTTTTCTTTTCTTATTTTTTCTTTTCTTTCTCTCTCTGTTTCTTTCCTCTCAGAACACGTTGCTTCCAAACTATCAATGGAGCATTAAAATTAAGTGTCTCTTAACAAAAGTTTTTACTAAACTTTAATACTAAAAAATTACTAAGAACCAACTTAGGAGTTGTCCCAATAAACATGGTCTAAGGATTTCTATCGCGGATGGTCTAAAGATGTAAGGAAACCGGGTCGGGTCCCTTAATTTTACCCCGAAGTTAATATATGCGATCAACATGACATTATATCGCTGACAACAAAAAAAAAAAAAAAAAACGTGACATTATATTCCAATCAGTTTTCGCCACGTGGTACATCCACGCAGACGTCGCGAAACTTCTAATGAACGCGTAAGAATGCAAAGACGATATAAATCGTAGCTTATCATCTAATCGCCTCCCTGAAATTGCTCATTTATCGGTCGAGGAAGAAGAATAATCAAGAACATTAAATCAATGGCATACGTCGAAGGAGGTATGAAACTTCAGATCTTTCTGATTCGTTTCCGTTTTTTTTTTTTGTGTGGAACTAACAAGGTCCGATTGTTCGTCTTTGATCCCAAATTACAAGTTTCAATCCTATCCTTAAGAACCGATTCTTGATTTATAACCTTATTTCTAAGTGTTCGATATCTGTGGAAATTTATATGTCCGAATCTGGATCGCTTATAGACTATGTTACATGTCCTTGGGTTGATCATGAATTTTGAAAGGGTTTCTAATTGCGTTTGTTGATCTGTCTATCCATCATCTTTATATGTTCATGGAAGATGGCAATTAAATTTTTCGTAGAAAACTTAATTTTGAGTATAAAGGTCCCTTTGACATTTGTTCAAACATGAATTATATTTGCTGTGCTATTCAGGCCACCGTTAATTATTTGAGCAATTTAAATAGGTAATAGCTAGTGAATAGGCATATGGAGATGTATTAATTGTGTCTGAGGTTGAATAATTTTACAGGTGTTGTTAAAGCAAAGCGATCAATATGGAGACTAAGGACGATCAAAGATTTCTTCTTGTCAATCATCAATCTGATACAAGTCTTCTTTATAACCATGTTCTCGGTAAGACTCTTTGCCTTTCTTTGTTTGGTTGCCTCTAAATAAGCTTCATAAGTTATGACTTACCCGAGAGATAAACGTTTGCCAGATGGAGAAATCAGATGCCTACAGGAAAGGCTCTGGGGCTAACAAGAAGTGGGATGGGGGCCGACCTGGTGGTGGTGGTGGTGGTGGAGGAGGAGGTGGAGGTGGTGGTGGCGGAGGTGGACGCCCTGGACCTCCTCGTGGGGGCCTCGACAATGTGCGTGGCTTGAATGATATCCGTGGAGCTGACCACAGTAAGTAACCCGAGACAAGTTTGATATTTAATTATTTTACTGATTGAAAACTCTGCAAATGAATCTGAGGAATGGTAAATTTTGGTAGTTACTAATGTGTTGATAGTTTGATCTTCATGTTGAATCTGAGGAATGGTAAATTTTGGTTTTTCAGATTCGCTACCGGCATGTGGCTCGTGCTGTGGGTGAGACTTTCTTTGTACAGAGCGCCCAAGAATAAATGAAGGGATATATAGTGTTGTAATGGGGCTCTGGAATTTGAGAAAGCAACGAACCAATTATATTCGAGCTTTTTGTATTTAGTCACTGGGAACATTTAAAGTTGGAAATTTGCCTTACCTAGTTTGTAATTTTTATGCAACATAATTACATATTTGGGATGAAACCACTGAAAAATGTATGTATCAAGTCGTTTTAAATATATATTTTATATTAAAAAGATATTGAAAATGGTCCACGAACCTTTTTTTTGTCAACTATCTTTCTTTATTATGGTTTCGAATGGGTAACGCAAATCAAAAAATACGGATTAAGTTGAACAAATGTAGATCATGCAGAACAAATGCAGGTCAACCTAATTTAATAAATTTAATAAATTATTGTATTTAATTAAATATTTGATTTTTCATAAAATTTTAAAATTTAAATAAAATAAAATTTTTTATACATAGGTAATACATATCCTATTAGTCAAAATAACAAAAAATCACTCACTCTGTTTCAAAATAATATATGTTTTAGAGTTTTCACACGTATTAAGAAAACACGTAAAACTTTAATTATAAATGATGAATTCTAAATAGATAAGGAAAAATATGAATAGAATAGTTAATTAATACGATCTAGTAGTTTAGTGCATTTGTATAGACTACTTTTAGTTGAGCCCGCTTAGCTCAGAGGTTAGAGCATCGCATTATCTTTTTGTGTTTAACTATTTCTTATGATTGCTAGACAGTCAAAAATCAGTAGACACAATTAATATCTTCAAAAACCACAATTTACTATTATTACATACATTAAAATATAAAACATTCTGAAACTTTTAGAAACAATTTTTTTTCTAAAATATAAAACATTATGAAATAGAGAGAATATCATTTTAATAAATATAGTGAAATCTAATAGATTTTTTTTTATCCTAGGGCATTTTACAAGTTTTTATTATAGTATGGGTCAGTTAGTGCTACATAGGCAGTTTTTTCTAATCAAATGAAAACTAGAGTCAACTTAATTAGTTTCTTTTGGTTTCAGTTAGTAATTAAAAAAAAAAAAAAACAGATCTCACTTTTTTTCTCTAAAGAATTTCTTTTTCTCTTTTTTTTTTCAATTCATACGAACAACTAAGCTCAATCCCGAGTGATTATTTTCCGTCGTGAAGCTTCTTCCTCTGTCGATTCTCGAAAACAAACGGGTTGATGCTGGACAAAGAAGAGCTATGGCATTTTGGTTATAATCTGTCAAAACTCAAAAGTTATGAGAATTTTTTTTTTTGCTTGGTTTTTGGATCTAATTGATCAATTACTACAATATTTTTAAGTTCTAGAGATAAAAACAAAAAAAAAAATGAAGATTGCATGAAGAAAATCAATGGCGGCTCTGAGATTTAGTTGCAAAAACGCAGGATACCCTAATAGGAAGAAGATGATTTAATTACAAAATTGCCAGTCATTAAAAAAAAGGAAATGTGTACAGTTATATGTGTACATATGTACACTCTTTATTATCAAAACAATGTACACTCGTCACATGTGTACACTATTTATTATTAAAGCAAAAAAAACAAAACTTACATGTTGACAATTATATGTTTGCGTGTGCACATCGTCACATATGTACACTCTTTATTATTAAAACAATGTACCATATATATGTACATTCTACATGGATACTTTTTACAAACGTCCAATTTACACATCACATCAACCAATCAACGATATAGGTAATTCACAAAGACATATATCACAATTGCAAGGTATATATCATTAACGTGTACATATATATTTCATTGTCCACATGTACAATGTTTCATGAAAACTCACATGTACCGGTACGTTCAATGGTCCATATGTACATATGTGCAATGGTCCATATACATGATAAATTTGTGTACATGTGCAATGGTCCATATGTAATTAGAATATGTCTATTTTTATATGTGATTAGAATATGTCATAATTTTTTTTTGGTTAATCCAAATAAGATTTGTAAGTGTTTGTGTTAAAATCACAAAAAATGATGATTAAGTGAAAAGAAAATTGCCGAATTTTTTGTAACCTAAAAGAAAGAAGACATGTTATTTACAAAATTACCACTCATTAAAGATATGTTGCATAGTGGTTATGGACTTTAATGATGTGTACGCTGTTGTAAATGTATTCATTTTGTACACTGTTGTTACTATATCCGTGTACACAGTTGTAAATGATATATACATGTACACCAAGATGATATCTAAAGTTCATGAGGTTGTAAAGATATCATTTTGTACACTGATGTAACTATATATATGTACACAATTAGTGTATGCATTTACATGTTAGTGTACGCATGTATATGTTAAAGAGATAATTGTCTTTGTAGGTATAAGGACAACAGAACATGGTTTACGTGAATTAAACAACATGATTATATATGCACATGTGTACAAACACAACATGTGTACATCTTTGCATGTATATATTACTAAGGCGATGTTTATAAAATCATGTATTCTCATTAAAATCTTAAGATCATTTTTTAATTCTTAAATGCATCGGAAAATAAATTAATTGAATTAAAATCAAAACAAAAATCATTAGATATGAATAAAACACACAAAATTAACTGAAATGCTAAGAACCAAGAATATACATGTGAAATAAGTTTTGTGTTATTTAACATACGTCCGAAGACAATTCCAAATTCACAAATGCATGAGTGTTATGTTTAGAAAGTGTACATGTGAACCAAAATCATATAGATACCTATAAATGTATACATGGACACTATAAGACAATATGAACACATGTACACTATAAGATATATGTACACATGGACATTTTACTGCACAAGTTATGATTCTTATAAAAATCACATGAACACTAGATGTACACATGTTTTAGACTAAAGTTTTGTTTCAAAAACATATGTGTACATTTAAATTTCTTTTGAAAGTATATATGTTAAACATACAAACACCTTTAGATGTGTTTAAAAAGGAATGAAAGCTTTCTAAGACCTAGCTTTCAATGCATAACCATGTGTGCCTGTGAAACATTTCCGTAAATTTTGTCCCATCAATTTCATCTGGGAGCATGCTTCATCTAAAAAGATTGTTGTTTCTGTACAATATGATTTTGTTAGGATGTACACAAACAAGCGTGTTAGGGTGTACACAAAAAAGTGTACATGTGTACAACACGAACAAGTTTTGGGTGCAAATTTTAATATTTTTTCATTAATTATGCAAAATTAGAGAAATAACCTTGTCTTCTTCTTTGGCCACTGTCGACCATAAATCTTAATTTTTCTCCGAACGAAGAAGCTTGAACTAAGACACGCCGACAAAGCTTGAATCAAACTATGAATGTGAAGAACCGGTTTCAATCACCGTAAGACACCACAAGCAGTTTGGAAATCAAGCATGGCCAAGGTTGCCAGAGTTTTCGGAGCAAAAGCAGAAGGTAGCGAGACAAGCTCTCTATGATTGAGGCGATCTTCACCATTGACGTTTAAGATTTCCTGTTAATGTTACAGTCATATACAACCATATTACATCACTTTGAAAATTATAGCTTAAAAGATAGATAAGAAAATCTATATTATAATGATACACTTTTAAGGCTCCTAAGCCTATCCACCTCAGCAAGTTTGCGGGTCCCGCGTATGTTATTAGGGAAAACAAAAACGTATAACATTTTGTAAGATTAAATGTTATTGATGAGTGATGAAATGGCCCAGTGGTGTAAATTGGTGACGAGAAGTTGGTACCGCGAGTGCCGGGTTCGAAACACAGTGTTTGCATGTAATTTTTTCTTTAAAAAATTTAGACTTTTCGGGATACCTAAAAGCTTAGGGAGATTCAGAATGATTTTTTATGCTGGTTGTTGGGATACAAAATGGCTTAAAGATTTGAAACTTTATGAGACCATCTTAGATACTTTTATAAGAAAGGTTATCATGTTCTAACCCCCAATATCATTTTAGTTCAGTTATAATCGTCAAATAAAATAAAAACATATTTTTTCAATAATAAATATTTACCCCGAACCATTCAGATCGGCCATAAATCTTATATACATCACAATTAAAAATATACATATATATATACAACATAATTTCATAAAGAAAATTACACTAATAAACACATGTCCTTTTTTGTCTTGTCTCCATTAAATTATTTTTTTATATGAAAGCACTAATAACACTAATGCTCGATAAAATCACTAATAAAGGAAATGCTCGATAAAATCTCTACGAAGATAAAATATGAAAATATCAACCCATATGAATTCAATGTTTATTCTTTTATCAAACTAATCAAATTGTGTGACTTCTAATGTTTCATTCATAACCATTATAGATAAGCCAGATAAACAAATGTTAAAAAAAACAGCAAAGTCTCATACACAAAACTACACAACACATCAACAACGTATCCAACCCCCGCGCTTACGCGGGGACTATGCATCTAGTATAAATAATGAATAACTATAAATTTTTGAAAATAAAATAAACTAAAACGGCAAATTTTGTTTTACAAAGAAAATAGAAAATTTAGGAAGAAGAAGAGGAAGAAGAAAGAGAAATGGACCCACCTTTAGTTAGTGTTTAGCTAACTATATTGTTTAGGATTAAAAGACAAAATGGAAAAAGTTAAAAAAAAACTGTCTAAGTAGAACAAACTGGCCTATTATGATATAAAAAACATAAAACTGTCCTATGGTGTAAATATTTCAATCTAATATTATGTGAATAATCATCAGCATCACAAAAATTATAAAAAAACATTCTTTTCTTGTTTTTATTTTTTGTATCTTTATTAGATTTTTGGTTATTTCTTAGCATCTAGTTCAACTATAGAACTGTGATTGTCAACTTTTATATATGTTGTTGTATCAACAAAATCTTCATTTAAAAGTTTAAAATATAAAAAAAGAATAAATGTATGTGTAAGTATAATTATGTTACTTTATTGTCATTAAGTAATTAGAAATAAAATTTAGAATTTTAATTATTTGTAGTTAAATATGAATTATCAAATATGAAACTATGTGCATAAATTTATTAAACTAATTTATATAAAAAGTAATTACTTTTTGAAAGTATAATAAATAATTTTTACTGATCATATATTTTAAGAGGATACAAAAATAACATATATAACTACATACTGAAATAATATTATAAAAAATAATATAAACTAAATATTTTTTTCTATAAACGTAAGATCAGATAAAGAGA